TTTAGCATAGTAGAATACATACTATGTTCTTGTCTATTTCTAGTAACAGATGATGAATGAACTATGATAACTCAAAATTCCTTAATTTAAATAACAAAACTTAGTGTGATTCTTGCTTTAATCAAATGACTTAGTCACAGTAATCATTATCTGTTGCAACAAGGGAATTTTAGGAAGGGCCACCAAAACTGGCCAACTGTCCCAGTTGGAACGCTGCTTTAGAAAATAGTTGGGGAAGTGGCCGGGCACAGTGACTCATGCCTGTAATCCCAGCACTTTGGGAGGCCGAGGTGGGTGGATCACGAGGTCAGGAGTTCGATACCAGCCTGGCCAACATGGTGAAACCCCATCTCTATTAAAAATACAAAAATTACCGTGCGTGGTGGCGGGTGTCTGTAATCACAGCTACTGGGGAGGCTGAGGCAGGAGAATTACTTGAAACTGGAAGGCGGAGGTTGCAGTGAGCCGAGATCGTGCCACTGCACTCCAGCCTGGGAAACAAGAGTGAAACTCCATCGCAAAAAAAAAAAAAAAAAAGTAGGGGGGTATCAGGGGCTCACGCCTGTAATTACAGCACTATGGGAAGCTGAGGTGGGTGGATCCCTTGAGGCTAGGAGCTCAAGACCAGCCTGGCCAACATGGTGAAACACCATCTCTACTAAAAAAAAAAAAAATACAAAAATAAACCAGGTGTAGTGGTGCACGCCTGTAATCCCAGCTACCTGGAGGCTGAGGCACAAGAATTGCTTGAACCTGGAAGGCGGAAGTTGCAGTGTGCGGAGATTGTGCCACTACACTCCAGCCTGGGTCACAGAATGAGACTCTGTCTCAGGGGGAAAAAAAAAAAAGAAGAAGTAGGGGCCGGGCATGGTGGCTCACACCTATAATCTCAGCACTTTGAGAGGCAGAGACAGGTGGGTCACCTGAGGTCAGGATTTTGAGACCAGCCTGGCAACATGGTAAAACTCCATCTCTACTATTAATAAAAATACAAAAATTAGCTGGGCATGATGGTGCATGCCTGTAATCCTAGCTACTGGGGAGGCTGAGGCACAAGAATCGCCTGAACCTGGGAAGCACAGGTTGCAGTGAGCCAAGATTGTGCCACTGCACTCCAGCCTGAGCGACAGAGCACCCTGCCTCAAAAATAAATAAATAAATAAATAAAAAATTTTAAAAAAGTAGGGGATTTCTCCTTTTGTTTTATTATGTAACATTGATGTGTGTTATAGCCTAGATAATCTCAAAATAGGAAATTATCTTGCTGGTTTTACCAGTTGGGCAATTTATATTTATTTAGTCTTCCATTTATTCCATTTAAATGTTAATTTATTTTGCCATTACTGTTCGAAGGAAAAGGAGAGCTCTATTCGGAAGACCATATCAGGGATCCTGTAGCATTTCTCATATTTCTGTATTTTTTGCCACTGTGGTTCTTTCCTGTTTCTGTGCCATGACCCCTTTGAGGAACTGAAGAATGCTCATTGTATGTATGTTTAGAATAGGACAAGTAATAACAAACTTCCAAATCCCAGTGGCTTAACAAAACAGAGGTTTATTTCTTGTTGACATTACAGAATACTGTGGATCAGGTGATCCTCCTCAATCTTATAGCCGTGCCTCTCGAATATGAGGTTCCAAGATCGTGATAGAGAGGGCAGGATGTCTCAGGGGATGATTTTTAGGGTCTAAGCTTACAAGTAGCTCACATCACTTCTGCCAAATTCTGTTAGCTAAAACTCACTGTCATCTTCCCAAATATTATCTGTGTGCTCTTTGCTATTTCCCAGGCCCCTGTTCATGGAGTTTCTGCTACATTCCATATTTCTAGTCACCAAACAGCTCTTTGCTTCTCTCTTTACCCATGCATAACACACTTAGTCCCTCTCCTTAGGGAGAAATCCCCAAGTCCCATTCCATCACTGCACCCGGCCTCAAATCCATGATCTCCAGATGATGTACATAGTATGTCAGGTTTAGACACGACTTCTGTTGATCTGAGGATCAGTGAACTAAGAGAGGTTAACTATATCCTTGTCCCCCAACCACACCCATTGTTCAGTGGTATAATTTGGATAGCATAGTAGTCACTGATTCTTGGCAATTCTGAAATCTCCCTCGTAACCCCTGTGTGTGAGAAATTACTTGAATGGGCACTGATTTTGTTTTCTTGAAAGAACACCTTTGTCCATAGTTCTTCCTGGTTCCTGGCTCTGTCCAGGGGGTTTGTTCTTTTCATTATCTACCTAGACCACATCTAAGTGGTATTGGGAAGCATGCCCTCCTTAGGTGCCGTATGGGCTTCAAAATCTGCCACCTGCTTACAGGAGGTTGAATGCCAGAGGTGGTTTTAATTTCAGACATTCTGGCAGGATTTTGTAAACTATATGTTTGGTTTCTTTGTCCATCCATTTCCCTTAACATTTGGAAGCATGAAAAGAAAAATATTTGGTAGGCATCTAATGTGTTTACTTCTAGTCAGTTTCTCATGCCAGTATCTGTTTTTCCTATACATAGTTACCAGCTTCTCTCATTTCTTTGTCCTTATGCATCTGCCTCTCTCACCTGATTGGCAGCTATGTGGAGGCCATCTGAGGCAGACTGGTTCAAAGGCTACCTTCATTTTAAACTGATCTTTGCCATAGTGCTGTTTGAATAGTCCCTCTGTTTGAATTTTATTGGGCTTCTGTGGCTTAGATCTTTTGTGTTAACTTACTGTTCAGGAATTCTGAAGTAGTCTGATTTTCCAATGTCACAAGGTCCTGATTTTTTATTTATTTTTAAGATAGAGGGTCCCACTCTTACCCAGCCTGGTTTTGAACTCTGGGCCTCAAGCATTCCTCCTGCCTTGGACTCTCAAAGTGCTGGGATTACAGGCATGAGCCACCATGACTGGCCCGAATTTTTAGATTCTATTAACCTTTTTTTTTTTTTTTTGTCAGGAACAGAAAGTCTCTAGTGTGGACCAAAGGTGTTCTCTCTTCCTCTCTATTTTTGTCTCCTCTCAAATCAGCCACTTTTTGCCTGAGCTCATGCTTCTTAAAGTACATTCCCAAGGCAGCCAATGGGATCCAAACACATACTATAAACTTTTTTTTCTAGCTACTTCTTTTAGAACCTCAAGTTCATTAGGCAGTCTGCTTCCAAGTTATAGGACATATTTTGCTAAATAGTTTGCCACTGCCTTTTGTTTCCATTTTTATCTTTGCTACCAGACTGCTAAGCCAGTGCCCTATAGCTTGATTTTTATTACAGCAGCATTAGTGCCACTTCAAGGCACTGATTTCTGTTGGGATAATGCTAGCTATGAAAACAAATTGTTGCCCAAATGTATAATGGCTTAAACATAATATATTTTTTCATTGGATTATAATCTTGAGCAGTACCAGTCAGGGAATGGCAGGAATTGGGGTGGGGATGGGGACAATTCTACTCTTCCCAGTCATTCAGGGACTGGCAGGCTAACAGAATCTGTTATCTTAAACACATGGCTGAAACTGAAATTGAATAATCTTAAAACTATACAGCTTGTCAGTGGAGGTCCCAAGATTCTTACCACTTGGTTCTGGCTTCAAAGCCCATGCCTTTTTGCCCACACACTATATCAAGAATTGAAAAGACACCTGGACCAGTTACCTAGCCAAAGTTTGTATTCTGTATTCAATATGTAAGCCAATCAGAAAACTGGTGATTGCTTAACACATTCAGTTGCTGGCGGTACATTACCTCCTTATCTGGAACTGCAGATGTTTCCTTGCAGCTTCTTTCTGGGGCCTCCATTTATTGGGGCCATACAAAATAAAAGATTATCCTTTTATCCCTTAGAGAACACAATTTTTGTGCCCTTTTCGATTATTTCGTTTCTGAGTGAAAATTTCCCTATTATTTCAGTGTACCTGAAGATTTTGAATACTGATTGTTCAAATTTAGACAGCTTCTACTTTGTCTAGGGTCCTTTTAAAGGGAATGCCAGAACTCAAGTAGATTTTCCATGTGAGATGTGATAAACATGGAACAGAATAGAACTATCACCTCTGTAGACTTAAGATTTTTCCGCTAACTATCTTTGTGTTCCTAGGGTGATACAATTCTGGAGACTGGAGAAGTAATTCCACCGATGAAACAATTTCCTGATCAACATCATTAAAGATTATGTAAAAACTTAAAAGGCTTATGAGCCTAAATTTGTTCCTATATTACCATATTTACTGAATTTTCTGGAAAAGTAACTTGAATAAAGTTTAATCTCAGAAATTGTCATATTTCTTTTCCAGCATTGTACAATTTGAGACTCTTTGAGTAATTTAACAATAAGTAAAAAGTGGACATGCTAAAAAAATATGAGAGACCACCTACTGTTTCTGGTCATTCTTGGCTTGGAAAACAGGGTATGGAAAAGTATTCAGTTATGTACTAGTTTTTTTTTTTTTTTTTTTCTTATACAATACTTTAATTTGGTATCAGGGTATGCAACAGTGAATTTTTGCAATAAACAAATATAAGAACAGAAATTCCATGCACTTTTGTTTTAAGGAAATCTTTCTGGCTGGGCACGGTGGCTCACGCCTGTAATCCTAGCACTTTAGGAGGCCAAGGCGGGCAGATCACGAGGTCAGGAGATCAAGACCATCCTGGCGAACACAGTGAAACCCCGTCTCTACTAAAAATACAAAAAAATTAGCCGGGCATGGTGGCGGGCGCCTGTAGTCCCAGCTACTCAGGAGGCTGAGGCAGGAGAATGGTATGAACCCGGAAGGCAGAGCTTGCAGTGAGCTGAGGTAGAGCCACTGACTGCACTTCAGCCTGGGTGACACAGCAAGACACTGCCCCCCCCCCCAAAAAAGGAATCTCTCTGAGTCATTTTTAAATAATTTAGAAACTTGATTGAAAAGCTTATTTGCTGTTAATTTTGTCATGAGAATGTAAAATACTAAAATTTCTAAGTTAAAAATTTGCATATTAGTGCTTGTTACAAAAGATAATGCAAAAATAAACTTGGGAACTTTGCATTATGAATTTTATTTTTAAATTTACATAAGCATGAGGGAAAGAACTGTATTTTCAAAGAATTAAATCCAGAGGAGTTACAAGTTTTCATTCGTCCCAAAGATTTTGTTCTGTGTATTTCTTCCTTAGCTGTCGTCTTGCAGACACCACTGAAGCATAGATGATGCAGCCCCAGTTGATTAAAACGATGGCAAGCAGCAACTAAACCAAAAACCGCAAAAGAGGTGTGAAATGTGCCTGATATTTCTGCAAATTTGCATACTAGTGCTTGTTATAAAGGATAATGCAAAAATAAACTTGGGAACTTTGCATTATGAATTTTACTTTTAAATCTACCTAAGCATGAGGGAAAGAACTATTTTCAGAGAAGTAAATCCAGAAGAGTTACAAATTTTCATTCGTCCCAAAGATTTTGTCTGGGTATTTCTTCCTTAGCTGTCGTCTTGCAGACACCATTGAAGCATAGATGATGCAGCCCCAGGAGATTAAAACGATGACAAGCAGCAACTAAACCAAAAACCGCAAAAGAGATGTGAAATGTGCCTGGTATTTCCCCCCCGCCGTCAGGTTACCGTGTGCCATTGCTAAGGTGGGAATTAAAGTAACAAAGTCGAATAAATGGGGTTCCAGTGGCGGGTACACCCAGCTGCCCTTACGTAAGAAGCGGAAGATCGTATCCTCCAGGAAGAGGCGGAGTCGAGGTGAGGGAGTGAAATGCTTAATTCAGGAATGGATTTTGGAGTTTCTGGGTGCTGAAGAAGTAGAGCCTTTCTGCCTGCAGGCCCAGTGAGTCGACACGGTGGGGGCCCGCGAGCCCCGGGACTTACCACAGAATAAATCCAGTCCAGCGTGCGACGACTCACTGGCTTCATGGTAAGGAGGCGGCAGCGGTCCGCGGGAGCTGGCGGGAGTTGCGGGCCTTACAGTAACCTCCCAGGCGGTGGCTGCCCGGCGGCAGCAGCCATCTTTTAGCCGGGCACGAGCGGCCGCCCACTCGCTTCGTGCAGAGGTGCCGCCGGCCTCTTCCGCCCGGAGTTGGGGGAGGGGGCGGGATCACGTGATCGGGAGCCTTGCCCGCCTTTTAGAGGGGAATAAACGAGAAAATGTTAAAAATTGCCTTTTTTTTTTTTCCTTTTTTTGCCAACTAGAGAGATAGGAGATAGGCGTACCTCCACTGGTTTTCTTTATACTTGCAATGCAGTATTAACGCAGGATAAGGTGCTGTCGTGTCCATTGAAAAGTTTATTTGAAAAACAATCCACGTTTTAAATATTACGTTGGGGTCTAAAGCTGGAGGAATTAATGCTTTCTCCCCCGGCCCCCTCACGCCTCTCCGCATCTGATACCACACAATTTAGATGAACGTTCGCCTGTTCATCTTTGACGTAAAAATACCACCCACTCTTTTGTATGTGACAGATCGTTGTGGGAACCCCTGTAAATCGAGCCGTTCTTCACAAATGTGTAGCATGATGTATATCTTTAAGAAGAAATATGTGGGACGCGTTACCCGCCATAATGTACCAGTCAAGCAACAAGTGTTTTCTGAGCGTGTCTGAGGTTCTTGAACGGCCGCGCATGAGATACTGAGCCCGGAGCACGGCAGTTTGGCTGGCAAGCGTACCAGGTTCAGCTCTAGAATGTTTGGGACGTTCACATTTGAGGCCTGAGGAGTAGAATCTGGCAACGGGCCGCTTTAGGCTCTAGACGTTCTTTATACCTCGCAGTTATCTTAAAAGAGTTTTAGTCTAGATTTCAGGGAGTGGGAAGGGGAAGAGCGGAGTAAAACGTGGTCTGTTTAGGGAAGAGTCCAGGCCCTGTTTTGTTAGGTTGTCCTGTTTCTCCCCAGCCTGGAGGGGATCCCTCTCTGAAGACTTTATAGGATACTGGTTGGGCTCTGGTTTTGGATCCCGTTGGACTCCCGGTGTTGCTTCCGGGAGGCGTACAACAGGAGGTGAGAGACTTCAACTCCGTGTAACAGTTCCCTTATCTAGACACTAGAGACAATTTCGTAAGTTCCCGCAGTTTGGTGAGGTTGAAACGACATCGAACTAGTTGTCGTGTTTTCCGGGTAAGTTAGGGGCGAACATTCAGTCAGTATCCCCAGCGGCTGAGTACCAGTAACAACATGGGGAGGGTCGCGCTGCCCTCATCCCGGGTCTGGCGCGGCGGGGGAGGGGCCGCGTTTCGGCAGGCGCGCTGAGCCCCGCCCTCGGGGCCGGCGCCCATCTGCTGCGCATGCGTGGCGAAGGCGGGTGTTGTGTTTTGACGCGCCCGGAGCTGGTGGGTGGGTCTCTCTCTCTCTGCCCTGCTTCCGAGCTGCCATTGGTGATGAGCGCTTTGCGTCACAGGGGTCGCAGCCGCCGCTGGGGTCTCCGCTGTCTCGCGAGGAGGGTGAAGCGCCCCCGCCTGCTCCCGCTTCGGAGGGTAGGCGGAGAAGTCGCCGGGTACGCCTTCGCGGATCCTGCCGTCACCGACCTAGCTTTCTGGGCTGCCGGGAGCTCGTGGCGAGCGCCCCAGCCAGGCCTGCGCCGGCATCTTCCGAGGTGAGTGAGATTCGGAACAATGGGACGTGGGGGTCGGAAGGGTGGGATGAGCTGGCGCTCCCGCCTGGAGCGGCGCCTCGGGACCCGAGGGCTGCGGTCTTGGCCTGCGGGGCCGTCCGGGCCTCAGCGGGCCAGGGCCAGGGTCCCCGGGCGGCTTCTGCGCGCACCTGTGGATTGGTGCGGGCGGGCGAGGGTTGCGCTTCCCACAAGCGCTCCCGAGGGGCGCGAGCCTGCCCGTGTACTGGAAAGAGCTTGGTCTCAGGGAAAAACGAAAAAGCAATGAGACTGAATCGTGGCGTCACCCTTACAGGATATGTGACCTTGCCTAGGTCCCCTAAGCCTCTGAGCCTATCTGTAAAATGGGAATAACAATATTTAAGTTCGTTGTAGTTATGTAATGCTCATGGTGCCTATCTTAGGTCTGTCTAGTGGCAGTTCTGAACCAAAGCAAACGACTATCACCGTGGCTTTTGGACTCGTCTGTGCTGTGTTAAACATTCTGAGCAGAAATTGCCCGTGACTTGTTCATGCATCCAGTTACTGCAGCTTTCCTCATGGGTTGCTGATTGTAGGCTGGAAGGGGGCAGTGCTGAGATGAGCCACATAGTGATTTAAGAGGAAAACGGAGTGGACCTTTTGATAGGTAATTTTCAAGATTATTTGAGATAAATTAAGAAACAGCTGCCCGAGATTTTAGTAGTGGTGAGAACTTTCTGGGTTTTGTCCATGAAATGCAAAGAAAGCTATACAATCAGCTAAAATCAATCATGCTTGTCTGGAATGAGTGGTTTTAGAGGGGAATGGTTCCCAACCAATTCTTATTGCAGGAATTGGAATTAAATTTGATAGGATCTGGTCAGGAGATCCCATAACTTTTGTATCTTCTTTTGGAATTGATTAAAATGCAGTTCAGAGAGGTACAGTGATTTCTTTAAGGTGGCAAGAGGTAGGAACCAGTTTATTTTTAATACTTGGGTAATCTATTTCATCTCGTGAACGCTGTTTAGTCACTTTGCCTAGAAATATTAAGTATAATAATTATATTAAGTATGATGATTGTTTTGTTGTTACAGACTATCCTCTGTCTAGGCCCTTATAATCAGTTATGGGTGATGAGCTACCAAAATTCACTTCGTGTTCACGTAACATAGAGAACAGTGTTGAGTTCTTACTGTGCACCAAGCACTGTGCTAAGGGTTTTCATAAATATGTTCCGTCACACAACCACCTTTTCAATTCCATTTTAGAACTGAGAAAACGTGAGATTTTGAGAAATAACTTCCTCCAGATCACACACCTAATAAGTGGTGGTGATTCTCAGCCTTGGCTCTGCGTCAGAATTAACATCACTCCTGCAAATGTAATCAGCAGATGATTAAATTTTATATACATTGTATGCCATAGATGACTTTTGTAATATGTCTGACTTTAATTCCACAGAGCAGTTCTACTTCGTTTATATCATTGTGCAGTTTTTCAAATATCCAGTCTCCTGAAATGTAGATTTGAGCTTCCTGATTCTTTATCTCCCCCATCCATTTTCCCTAGATGTGTGTCCGTATTAATTATCTAAAATTTCCCTGAATTGTGACATGAAGGGTTCGTATCCTTGTTAAAACCAGATTTGAGAATTTGGGAAAGGGAAGTTTTGGCTTAATCAGTTTGTACTAAAGATGGTGAACTTCATTTAGGATTTGAGAGACAGTTTAGAAAGTGCGACTGGAAGAACTGATTGTCTCCTGTGAGGAAATGAATAGTCCTAATCCCTAGAGTGCTAGGACGGAGAAACCTTTACACAGGCTTCTTACAGAACCTGAAGCACTGTGTTTTTCATCGGATCTACCTTTGCTACTTAAATTCAGAACCTCTCCTGGAAATCAACCACTCTCGTGTGTGTGAGGCAGAGTTTCGCTCTTACTGCCCAGGCTGGAGTGCAGTGGCACAATCTCGGCTCACTGCAACCTCTGCCTCTGGGTTCAAGCGATTCTCCTGCTTCAGCCTCCTGAGTAGCTGGGATTCCAGGCATGTGCCACCACGCCCAGCTAATTTTTGTATTTTTAGTAGAGACGGGGTTTCTCCATGTTGGTCAGCTGGTCTCGAACTGCCGACTTCAGGTGATCCGCTGGCCTTGGCCTCCCAAAGTGTTGAGATTACAGGCGTGAGCCACCGCGCCTGGCCAGCAAATCAACCACTCTTAATCTGTATGTAGTCATCCCAGTTTTTATGCCTTAATTTGTATTTTTAAACAGCTTTGTTAAGATTACATTTTGGGCCAGTCACGGTGGCTCACGCCTGTAATCCCAGCACTTCGGGAGGCCGAGACGGGCGGATCACGAGGTCAGGAGATCGAGACCATCTTGGCTAACACCGTGAAACCCCGTCTCTACTAAAAATACAAAAAAGTTAGCCAGGCGTGGTGGCAGGTGCCTGTAATCCAGCTACTGGGGAGGCTGAGGCAGGAGAAGGGCGTGAACCTGGGCGTCGGAGCTTGCAGTGAGCTGAGATCGCACCACTGCCCTGCAGCCTGGGTGACAGAACAAGACTCTGTCTCAAAAAAAAAAAGATTACATTCCATCCATAAAGTTCACCCGTTTAAAGTTTGTAAGTCAATTATTTTTAGTATATTTACAGAGTTGTGCAACCATTACAACAATCTAATTGTAGAACATTTTCGTCATCCCAGAAGTAAACCTCATTACTGCCCCAGCAGCAGCCACCAGCCTCATTTCATCTCTATAGATTTGCCTATTCTGGACATTTCATATAAAAGGTATCATACTATATGTGGGTTCTTGTGAATTTTTTTTCATTCATTTAGCATAATAAAAAGGTTCATCCATGTTACAACATGGTACCAGTACTTTGTTCCTTTTTATTGCCATAAAATTCCATTGTATGAATAGACCACATTTTATTAATCTGTTAATCAATTGATGGGTATTTGAGTTTCTCCTTTTGAGGTATTATGACTAAAGTTGCTGTGAATATTCATATACAGTTTTTTGTGTGGATAAGTTTTCATTTCCCTTGGGTATATCTAGGTGTGTAATTGCTGGGTCATAGTTCAACTTTATTTGCATTTTAAAAGACATTTTAATTTAGTATTTAGTGATGATTTTGAAGAGCTAATTACTTATTTAATGATTTACATGCATTCCAATTGTTTGATGTTTCTTTTTATTTTTTTAAAATAGAGACTGGATCTCGCTTTGTTGCCTAGGCTGTCTCAAATTCCTGGCCTCAAGCGTCTTCTGCCTTGGTTTTCCAAAGTGATAGGATTACAGGCGTGAGCTACTGTGCCCCGCCTCTTTGATGTTTCTGATGAAGACTGCTTGTTTGTTTATTTTGAAACGGGGTCTCATTCTGTCGCCTAGGCTAGAGTGCAGTGGTGCACTTGCGGCTCACTGCAGCTTGGACCTCCCAGGCTCAGTTAATCCTCCTGCCTCAGCCTCCTGAATAACTGGGACTACAGGTGTTTCCATCATGCCTGGCTAAGATTATTCTTTTCAGCTAATGATTCCTGTGTAGAAATATAAGAATGAGTTCTAATTTGTTGGTTTGTTTTTTTTTTAACCTATTGTGGAGGACATTACCAGTCATTCATTCACCTTTTACTGTCAAAGTGGTTAACAGGCTTATAAAACTAGAGAAGGGAAGGTTAAGGTTTCATTTTTTTTTTTTAATCATACTTTGTTGAGATTTTATTTTATTTGAACTTCAAGTTTACTACCTAATAATTCCCTTTAATACATTAATTTTCAGCTGTAATTTTTATGTGAAATGGAAGTGTTCAGAAAACACTAAAATTCTATTTCAAAGAACTAAGTGAAGATAACATGTATTAAGTTGGAATTCACAGGTATTTTTTCCAAGTCCAGTAATCCCTTCATTATATAGAGGAGAAAACTAAAGTCTAGAGTAATGTGGTTTTCTTCACATTAACTAGAGCTCGTTCTAGGGGAAGCCTGGTCTTAATCCAGATCTTTTAATAACCTCTTCGATTCCCTCCCAACTTTTCTCTATCCCTTCCCTCCACCAGACACACAGTCTCTGAACTGAAAGGTTTTTATTTTTATGTGTGTGTTTCTTTAAATTTCCTGAGTGGGCAGATTAAAAAATGTTAAAAGTAGAGGGAAATACTGAGAAGATTGTGCAGTATTAGGGTTTTAGAGTGCTTATGAACAAAAAAGCAGTATGATGTATTTATAATTCTGCTTTTCCAGATCTTCCAGGGCAGTGATGATTTTTTGCATTTTCAGTCCAGTAAATAGAAGACTAGAAAAATACCTGAACCCCTGAAGAAAGACTTGTTTAGCATTAATTGATTCTCTATTAAGTTATGGTTCTGAGAAAGCCAAGATGCCCTAAAGTGAGCAAGTTTAATATGAAAACTATGGTGGAATACTTGTATTTCACAGTCATGAGTTTTTGTTGTGGGTTTTGTTTATTGGTTTTTCTTATAGATTGTTAAGGCCAATGAGTCTCTTTAGAAAATTACCATTCTGTTATTTGATTAACTTGACCCCAGTTGACTGGTGATGGAACTTCCTGTGATAAAGGAGGTGGAGGAAGATGAATATTAGGCCCCGGGAAACAAAGGGCCTAGTAGTTTTTTGTTGTTGTTTGTTTGTTTTGAGACGGAGTTTCACTCTTGTCACCCAGGCTAGAGCGCAATGGCGCAATCTCGGCTCACTGCAACCTCTGCCTCCTGGGTTCAAGCGATTCTTCTGTCTCAGCCTCCCAAGTAGCTGGGATTACAGGTGCCTGCCACCATGCCTGGCTAATTTTTGTATTCTTAGTAGAGACGGGGTTTCACCATGTTGGCCAGGCTGGTCTTGAACTCCTGACCTCAGGTGATCTGCTTGCCTCGGCCTTCCAAAGTTCTGGATTATAGGCATGAGCCACTGCACCCGGCCCCCCAGTAGTCAATATATTCAAAATGGTTAGTATAAAATGCAGCTTTGGGGTTTATGAGATAAAGCTAAAATGCATACTAGAGTTCAGCTCTAGCAAAGTTTGGAGCCAATGTAAACTGATAAAACAAACTCATCTTTAATATTCTAGTCATCCTTATAGGAAAGGATAATAGGGAAGGGGACCGAAAACATGATTTCAAGATATTTTGTGGCCTGACTTTTGGATTAAAGAAAAAAAGCTAAAGGAAGGCTTATTGGGAATGCTGAAAGGAATGAGAGATAAACTGAATATAATAGTGTAGTAATAACAGTAATACAGTGTAGTAATAATAACAGCTAACATTTACTCAGCACCTACTGTGAGCCAGGCACTGCCTCTTGGCTGCTTTTTCATTTATTATTTAATCTTCACTAAAAGTTTCCTGTGCTTTTTTAAAATTAGCTTTCTAAGGTTGAAAAAAGAATCTTTCACTAAAAACCATAGGATTGGTTTAAACAGGTGAACTTTCTGGTATGTAAGTTATATCTCACCGAAGTTGTTTTAGAAAAGTACATATAAAATACTATCACAGATAAATCAGTAGTCTGTATTGTTAGTGGCATATGTATATGAAAGGTATAAAGCCATACATAGAAATAACATCAACTGAGGACTGTGGTGTTTTTGTTTTTTGTTTTCTAGAGAGTGATAGGAGGGGAAGATGAGGGGCATAAGATAAGTGGTGGATACATGGGTATTTGGTACTTTTTTTTTTCTATGTCAGATATTTCTCAAATTAGTTTTAAAAAATTAATAGAGTGTTAAATAATATTTGAGAACTTTACTATGTACCGGGTGCCTTTTCTAAGGACTTTTTACATCTTCACAAACCCTGTGAGGCAGATTCTGTTATCACTGACTTGAGGATGAAATTAAAGCACAGAGATACTAACTGGCACATAATCACGCTGGTAGTGTGGAACCAGAATTCAGTCTTAGGAAGTCTGACTTCAGAGCTTATGCTTTAAGCACTATATTACTATGCTACAGTGCCCCTTTATAATACAACAGAAGTAATGGGTCACTTAAATATTTTCACCAAAATATGTTTCAAGGTCTTTATTTGCATTTTTGTTGAGACTATTTAGTCATTCGTCTGTTTTCAGGTTACTGATATATTTCTTTCCCTTTTACAGATAATGGCATCAGCTGCTAAGGAATTTAAAATGGACAACTTTTCACCTAAAGCTGGCACTAGCAAATTGCAACAGACAGTACCAGCTGATGCATCTCCTGATTCTAAGTGTCCTATATGCTTGGATAGATTTGATAATGTGTCTTACTTAGATCGCTGCTTACATAAGTTCTGTTTTCGCTGTGTACAGGAGTGGTCAAAAAACAAAGCTGAATGTCCACTATGTAAACAGCCCTTTGATTCTATTTTCCATTCTGTGAGGGCGGAAGATGACTTCAAGGAGTATGTCCTAAGGCCTTCGTATAATGGTTCTTTTGTCACCCCTGATCGACGATTTCGCTACCGTACAACTCTGACAAGGGAACGAAATGCTTCTATGTATTCACCTAGTGGTCCTGTGAACAGAAGAACAACAACTCCACCAGATAGTGGAGTACTATTTGAAGGGTTAGGCATTTCAACAAGACCTAGAGATGTTGAAATTCCTCAATTTATGAGACAAATTGCAGTAAGAAGGCCAACTACTGCAGATGAAAGATCTTTGCGGAAAATTCAAGAACAAGATATTATTAATTTTAGACGAACTCTCTATCGTGCTGGTGCTCGAGTTAGAAATATTGAAGATGGTGGCCGCTACAGGGATATTTCAGCTGAATTTTTCCGTAGAAATCCAGCTTGCCTTCACAGATTAGTCCCCTGGTTAAAACGTGAACTTACAGTTCTTTTTGGAGCTCATGGATCTTTAGTGAATATTGTCCAGCATATTATCATGAGTAATGTTACTCGCTATGACTTGGAGAGTCAGGCATTTGTGTCTGATTTAAGACCATTTTTACTTAATCGAACTGAGCATTTTATACATGAATTTATCAGTTTTGCCCGATCTCCTTTTAATATGGCAGCCTTTGACCAGCATGCCAATTATGATTGCCCTGCTCCTTCATATGAAGAAGGCAGCCATTCTGATTCTTCAGTCATAACAATATCTCCAGATGAGGCTGAGACCCAGGAGCTGGATATTAATGTAGCCACTGTTAGTCAGGCACCATGGGATGATGAAACTCCAGGACCATCTTACTCAAGCTCAGAGCAGGTACATGTTACTATGTCTTCTCTTTTAAATACTTCTGACAGTTCAGATGAAGAACTTGTCACAGGAGGAGCCACGTCTCAGATACAAGGAGTACAAACCAATGAGGACCTAAATAATGACAGCGATGATTCTTCAGATAATTGTGTCATTGTTGGGTTTGTTAAACCACTAGCTGAGAGGACCCCAGAACTTGTTGAACTGTCCTCTGATTCTGAGGACTTAGGTTCTTATGAGAAAATGGAGACAGTGAAGACACAAGAACAGGAGCAATCTTACAGTTCTGGTGATAGCGATGTTAGTAGATGCTCATCTCCACACTCTGTCCTTGGAAAGGATGAAGAAATAAATAAAGGTCATTGTGATTCTAGTACAAGAATCAAATCAAAGAAGGAAGAGAAACGATCTACATCATTGTCATCTCCCAGAAACCTGAGCTCATCTGTAAGAGGAGACAGAGTATATTCTCCATATAATCATAGACACAGAAAGAGGGGAAGATCAAGAAGTTCAGATTCACGTTCTCAGAGTAGAAGTGGGCATGATCAGAAGAATCATAGAAAGCATCATGGGAAGAAAAGGATGAAAAGTAAACGATCCAGAAGCAGGGAAAGCAGACCTAGAGGGAGAAGAGACAAAAAGAGATCAAGAACTAGAGATAGCAGTTGGTCCAGAAGAAGCCAAACTCTGTCTCTAAGTAGTGAAAGCACAAGCAGATCAAGGTCTCGTAGCAGTGATCATGGTAAAAGAAGATCACGCAGCAGAAATAGAGATCGTTATTATTTAAGAAATAATTATGGAAGCAGATACAAATGGGAGTATACTTATTACAGTAGAAACAAGGACAGGGATGGGTATGAATCATCTTACAGGAGGAGGACTCTGTCCAGAGCTCATTATTCTAGACAGTCTTCAAGTCCAGAATTTAGAGTTCAGTCCTTTTCTGAAAGAACAAATGCTAGGAAAAAAAATAATCACAGTGAGAGGAAATATTACTACTATGAAAGGCACAGATCAAGGAGCCTGTCTAGTAACAGATCAAGGACTGCATCTACCGGGACTGACCGGGTGAGAAATGAAAAGCCTGGAGGGAAACGAAAATACAAAACACGGCATTTGGAGGGTACTAACGAAGTGGCTCAGCCATCTCGTGAATTTGCTTCTAAAGCAAAGGACAGTCATTACCAAAAATCTTCATCAAAATTGGATGGAAACTACAAAAATGAGAGTGATACCTTTTCAGACAGCCGATCATCAGACAGAGAGACAAAACACAAAAGGAGAAAAAGGAAGACCCGGAGCCTAAGTGTAGAGATAGTCTATGAAGGAAAAGCTACTGATACAACTAAACACCATAAAAAGAAAAAGAAGAAACATAAGAAGAAGCATAAGAAACACCATGGAGATAATGCTTCACGTTCCCCAGTTGTAATTACCATCGACAGTGACAGTGATAAGGATTCTGAAATAAAGGAGGATACAGAATGTGACAATAGTGGTCCTCAAGACCCTCTACAAAATGAGTTTTTGGCTCCTTCCTTGGAACCATTTGAAACTAAAGATGTAGTTACAATAGAAGATGAATTTGGTGTGCTGGACAAGGAGTGTGATATTGCTACACTTAGTAACAACTTGAATAATGCCAACAAAACTGTAGATAATATTCTATCTCCAGCAGCTTCAGTTGAACAAACTCTCGATGTAAGAGAAGAGATCACCTTTGTTTCTGATTTGGAGAACCAGCCCAGTAACATTGTGTCTATTCAAACTGAGCCATCAAGGCAGTTGCCGTCTCCACGGACATCATTAATGTCAGTATGTCTTGGTAGAGACTGTGATATGTCTTAAAACTGGCCAAAGCATTTCATTGAGAATTCTGATGATATAAAAAGAAAAAAGGAAGAATGTCATCTACTGCAGTCTATTTAAAGATGACTTTGGTGAAAACTCTCTTCCTCACAATATTTTAAGTGATTTTTTTTTTTTTTTGGTGTTAATTTGTAAAAATCATTATTTGTTCAAAATGTATGTCCCACCCTCAAAGATATGCACTTTTAAGTGAAGAAAATGATACTGCTAGCAGTTTATTTAAAACTTGGGGTCCTTTTTAAATAAGAAAAATTATATAAATTTTAGAAGTTATTTCATAAAGCCATACGGTATTGACATATTTTTAAGGTAGTCAATGAGTATTTTTGAATTTTTTTTTTTTGAGAGTTATTCTGGAAATGTGTTATAAGCTAGGAGAATCCTTTGGACAGTCTTTATTTTTCTTAAAAATTTATATGATTCAAAACCATTTCTTCAGGTTAAATTGAGGCATTTTAATCTGCACAATTTATCTTCTGCCAAAATAAAAATTTACTATTTCCTTTATATACTTGTTTATCTGGACTGCTAGTAAAACAAATGTGTATTCAACAAAAGAAAAATAAAACACACTTTCAAACAAGAATCAGACATTTTCCTATGCAGTATTTTTTTTTTTTTAAGTTTATTTTAGTAAAGCTAAAATCTTGAAAGTAGCTAAGGGCTTAATTATCTCATAAATACTGAACTTCAGGTGAACAAATACTTTATAGTTTTAATTATTTTAGTTCTTTGAGGAGTATCTCATTTGCTTTTTATCATCAGTAAAAACAGCATTTAACTTGCTAAATATGAAAAATCCTTGTCATACTTATTTTACATTGGTAGTTCTTTTATATAAAGTGGTTATGTTTTCTCTTGTTTTAGGGATGATAAAATTACATCTATGCTGATGTAGGATTGCCACGGAACAGTGGAGCTTGAGTTGAATCTTAATTCAGCCTTCAGTTTGCCTCTGCCTTGTTCCCATATTCATTCTTTATTCAGTAGAAATTGCAATGCCTACTATGTGGCAGGTTCTGCACTAAGTTTTGCTTTTTGTTTTTTTTGAGTTGGAGTCTGGCTCTGTTGCCCAGGCTGGAGTTCAGTGGTGCAATCTCACTTCACCACAACCTCTGCCTCCCGGGTTCAAGGGATTCTCCTGCCTCAGCCTCTGGAGTAGCTGGGGCTACAGACACGGGCCACCATGCCCAGCTAATTTGTGTGTTTTTAGTAGAGGCAGGGTTTCACTATGTTGGCCAGACTGGTCTCGAACTCCTGACCGTGATCCACCCGTCTCAGCCTCCCAAAGTGCTGGGATTACAGGCATGAGCCACCGCACCTGGCGGTTCTGCACTAAGTTTTATCAAGAGAGCAAAGCAGATATGCTCCTTGCCTTCATGGTGCTTATGGACTGTTAAGACAAATATTTATGTAAGTATAACATTATCATATGTTCTCTGAGGAAAAAGTATAATTCCCTTAGAAGTGAATGGGGACCTAATCATGATTGGAAGTAATAGTTGAATCTAGAAAACAAGCCAGCATTAACTGGGGGGAGGAATTGCTGTTGGCAAAGGATTCAAAGGCTGATGAAGAGCCTAGTATATTCCAAGAACTAACAGCAGGATTAGACAAAGGACAGAGGGTGGGAACAGTCTTGGTAGGCCATGTTTAGAATCTGTTTATCCTAAGGACAGTAGAAAATTGTTTAAGGAGAATCTAAAATTGATGTTGGCAATTTTTCAGTAAGCTCAGACATTGAGAAATTGTGGGAAGACTATAGTTGATCAAGAAATACACATTTGAAATTTGTAGTTACAGTGTAATATTTCTTAAGTATTAAAAAAATTATTCCACATGGTAATTTCACATCATGTTTTCCGTTAAATATTTAATGAAAACAATACATGGCACCATCATCCTTTTGGGTGTTGAAGCCAAAAATTGCCAAGTCTTGATTCATCCCTGCCCTTTAGCCCACCTCATTCAGCTTTCGAATCCTTGGCACTAATGATTTTTATGATATTTGTATTGTGTCTATACCATCCACATCCAATCTGGGTAGCCAAGATCTCTCATCTGTGCTACCATAATGGGTCAGCCTGCATTCATTGTTGGTCTACACCCACTCCTTCCCCCATCCATTTGTGATGCAGCACTGAAAAGATTTTTTTTTCTCTTGAGACAGTCTTGCTCTGTCACCCAGGCTGGAGTACAGTGGCATGATCTCGGCTCACTGCAATGCAACCTCCACCTCCTGGGTTCAAGTGGTTCTCCTATCTCAGCTTCCTGAGTAGCTGGTATTACAGATGCCCGTCACCATGCCCGGCTAGTTTTTGTATTTCTAGTAGAGATGGGGTTTCACTATGTTGGCCAGGCTGGTCTCGAACTCCTGACCTCAAGTGATCTGCCCGCTTTTGCCTCCCAAAGTGCTGGGATTACAGGCATGAGCCACCGTGCCCTGCTGATCTGTGCCCTGATGATGAAATTTTCATCCGCTTCTTAAAATCCTTCAGTAGCTTCCTATTTTCTTAGGATATTAAAAGCAGACAAAAAATCCAACAGCGTGATATGGTTTATAGATATCTGCCTAATTAGGCTCTGGCCCATCTTCAGCATTTCTGTCACTTCATTTGGGCTCATGCCACGCTAGGCTGCTCCAGGGCTATGGCGGTGCTGCTCTGTACTACATGAGAGCTTTCATTCGTGGCAGTTTTCTTCTGCTGGAAACTGAACTAAACTCACCCTGGCTAAACTAGATTTGTTAAAAGTGTGCCCTCTTCCCACCTCCCCAAAACTGCTTCAGACAACTCCAGGCTCCTTCAGACCACTCATCACAATTAGCAGTTGATTACTAAATGTCTTATCTCCCACCAGTCGGAAAGTTCTGTGAAACTGTATCAGTGTACTGCTGGATTCTTTCACTGCTTGACAACCGACATGCTTAAAACACTGAATGAATGGGACCTGGAAAATTTGAAAATGGGCTCAGGCCTGCTTTCAAGAAGCTCCACTATCTATAAACTTTTAGAATAATAGTATATTCTTTTAATATGTTCATCTGAATTCAGTGTCCATGTCATTTTATTTTACCTTGGGTTCTCAGTGTAGTGACTTTGTCATTTAATCTGTGTAAGGAAGTATAACTAAACCATTCATGCTTGCTTACTCATGATCATGATCCTGAGGTTCACAACACGAAAATTTGTTACTACTTTTTACCTCCTAGTCCAAGTAATGAAGTTCAATAGTCCCAAATTTCTAGGCTAGCCAATCTAAAGGGCCTCCGTAACTCATCCAGTCTGTAGTAAAGATGTGCAGTGTGCACAAAGGGGCTTACAGGAGGCAAGCTGACAACCCACACTTGCTGGGAATTCTTCCCTTGTGAAGAATAATTGCAGTCCCCTGCCAGTGTAGGTTGTAGACACGCTGAGCAAGCCAGTAGCACATTTCTGGATGCAGAAAAATTTTTGGAAGGCACTTGGGGGTGCTGGAACCCAAGTGTGATCTGGTTTAGGCTGTTGCCACTCCCAGTATTCCCACCAACAGGGGCAAGGAATGGGAAGTGGAGAGGGAGAGGTTTCCCTTTATCAAAACTCTTGATTTCCCCAGCATTCAGTGTGGATGCACCATTTAGAAGAGTATATAGAGTTTAGAGGGGTATAAAATCAAAAGAGTTTGCTTTGTGTTTGTTTTGAAACTTAATGGGAGGGAGAGAGGAGCCTTTTTTTGGGAGAGAGCCCCTTGAGAAGGAAAGGTTGACTAATGAAACAGTTCCTGAATGGGAAAGATGGTCCAGAGCACAGAGAAATAAAATTAGCAATGGACAAGCAAAGGCAAGTCTTACTATAAAACGGCAGGAGGTAAAAACAGAAAAAAAAGTGTTTGTGGGTAGATGCATTAAGATGAGGTAATACATGCCCTAAAGCCTCTCCTTTGTCTATTAAATAGAATGCCATCTTCTGAGAAGGTTGGATCATGAGTAGGATTGAGTTTGAGAGGAGTGGAAAAAACGCCCCTTGAAAGGCACAAAGAGAAGGTTAAGAATCGCTGATTAGTGTTGAGGCCTCACCTGAGATGGGATATTTAAATTTGTGGGACACTATGATTTGTGACTTCTTTTTGTCGCACCAGCATTCAACATTGGAAGAAGCAGAAACTAATGTTGGACCTATAGTATTCATTTAGTATTTGTACTGAGCAAATGAATAAATGGATGGATTTATTAGATGTTCTGGATGTCAGCAGTAAAAGGACGGGCAAAGGAGTTGAGGGATAGAGTGGTGAGAGTAGCAGAATTGATGCATTTTATTATCTGGGCTGAGTAGGGAGGGAAGTGAAGCTATGAGATGGCCAATATACTTGGAGAACAGAGAGATTATCAGGGGATTCATTTTCCAATGGGGTTCCAGTAGGTACAAGGGCAGGAGTAAGAAGACAAAAATATATATATATTTTTTAGAGAGTGCCTAATTGTAGGTATTGTTGGAAGTAGGTGACTAAAATTGAAGCAGGTGGAGCTGAAGGTAACTGGAATTGAGAATAATGATCTGTGAGGCTGTAGGTATATCCTCAACAAGAAAAACATTCTGTGATGGCAGGAGATACAGGGTGGAGAAGAAAATAGTTGTGATTATATCTTCCTTTAACTATATTTGTGTTCCTCCACAGCAGCTGGCATGCAGAGAAGGTTTAAAATGTGTTGAATAAACGATTATTTCCTCATTCTTGGTTTTTAGTCAAAACCTAAATCACTTAGTTATTAGAAAACTGTGGGATATGGCCATTTTAAAAAATACAGTAGGATTAGTTGTTACAATGTCACGAAAATTGGTAAGTTCTTTCCTGTTTTACCTACAAAGATATTGGGTGATCGTAAATACCATTGGATCTGTCCTTGAAGAAGGCAAGAGGCAAGGAAATGGAGTTCAAATTAGGCTAAGCTCTGAAGCCAAATTCCTACCTGTAGAATCCGTAACTGTGGTTGCTCCAGAACATTGGGTAATATAATTTATATAGACACAAGGGGGCAAAGTTAGGCATCTTGTACAATTTGCTTGGAGTAGGCTGGTTCCAGCTTATCTGCATGACTATTTGCACTGTAAATAGGTAAATAGTTCTCTCCTGGACAAGGGGATATCCCTTTGCTTTTCTATCTGTAAAACTCATTTTTTTTTTTTTTTTTTGAGATGGAGTCTTGTCTGTCGCCCAGGCTGGAGTGCCGTGGAAAACTCATTTATTCATCAGGCATTGAGTACATAGAGTCCAAGAGTATTCTAAATGCTAGGGATGTAAGGATGAATAGGATGGAACCAACAGGAATCTTAAAGAAGGTAGGAATGGAACAATCAGATTTGTTCTTAAGAAACAACTAGTAGTAATGTAGCATAAGGTTTGGAGTAGGGAAAGCCTCAGAAAAAGACTTTAAGAAGCTCTTGTCTTGACGCAGTGGTTCATGCCTGCAGTCCCAGCACTTTGGGAGGCTGAGGCAGGAGGATCGCTTGAACCCAGGAGTTTGAAGCTGTAGTAGCTTCAAGTAGTAGAGATATATTTCCTATCTCTAAAATATATCTCAATTAACTTCTTACACTCTCTGCCACAATGTCCTTATCTATGCCTCTCATCATCTTACTTGAGGGCCACTGCACTCCAGACAGGGTCTCATACACAAAAAAAGGGGAAAAAAAAAAAGCTCTGAAAAGTAGCTCAAACCAGATATCAGAAGGGCCTGTACAAGAACAGGGATAATAAGGATCCAGAGAAGGGGCTAGATTGGAGATTTCTGAGGTACACGAGACAATATTTAGGTACAATTTAGATGGAGAT